ACCTCGCCCGGCTAGTTTTTTGTATTTGTTTAGTAGAGACGGGGTTTCACCGTGTTAGCCAGGATGGTCTCGATCTCCCGACCTCGTGATCCGCCCGTCTCGGCCTCCCAAAGTGCTGGGATTACAGGCGTGAGCCACCGTGCCCGGCCAATTTTTTGTTTTTTTTGAGACAGTCTCACTCTGTCACCAGGCTGGAGTGCAGTGGTGTGATCTCGGCTCATTGCAAGCTCCCCCTCCCGGGTTCAAGCTATTCTCCTGCCTCAGCCTCCTGAGTAGCTGGGACTACAGACGTGTGCCACCATGCCCAGCTAATTTTTGTATGTTTAGTAGAGCTGGGGTTTCACCATGTTGGCCAGAATCGTCTTGATCTCTTGATCTTGTGATCCGCTCGCCTTGGCCTCCCGAAGTGCTGGGAGTACAGGCTTAAGCCACCATGCCTGGCCATTTTTTTTTTTCTTTTCTGCTTTGAGATGGAGTTTTGCTCTTGTTCCCCAGGCTGGAGTGATATGGTAGTCGCAGCTGCATCCCAGGTTCAAGCTATTCTCTGGCCTTAGCCTCCCAAGTAGCTGAGATTACATGTGTACATGAGCCCCACACCCAGCTGAGATTTTTCTTTTTTTGAGACAGAGTCTTATTCTGTCGCCCAGGCCGGAGTACAGTGGTGCAATCTCGGCTCAATGTAACCTTCACCTCCCAGGTTCAAGCGATTCTCCTGCCTCAGCCTCCTGAGTAGCTGGGACTACCAGCATGTGCCACCACACCCAGCTGATTTTTTGTATTTTTAGTAGAGATGGCGTTTCACTTGTTAGCCAGGATGCTCTTGGTCTCCTGACCTCATTATCCGCCCACCTCCCAAAGTGCTGGGATTACAGGCATGAGCCACCACGCCCAGACCTAATTTTTTTTGTTTTGTTTTTTTTTTGAGACTGAGTCTCGCTCTGTCACCCAGGCTGGAGTGCAGTGGTGCAATCTCGGCTCACTGCAAGCTCCGCCTCCCAGGTTCATGCCATTCTCCTGCCTCAGTCTCTCGAGTAGCTGGGACCACAGGCACCCACCACCACGACCGGCTAATTTTTTGTATTTTTAGTAGAGACGGGGTTTCACCGTGTTAGCTAGGATGGTCTCGATCTCCTGATCTCGTGATCCACCCTCCTCAGCCTCCCAAAGTGCTGGGATTACAGTCGTGAGCCACTGCGCCCAGCCCTAATTTTTGTATTTTTAGTAGAGACAGGGGTTTCACCATGTTGGCCGCGCTGGTCCCAAACTTCTGACCTCAGGTGATCCACCAGCCTCAGCCTCCCAAAGTGTTGGAATTACAGGCATGAGCTGCCCAGCCCCCAGCCTGATTTTTTGGACAGGAGTCCCCAACCCCGGGGCCAAGAACTAGTATTGGTTTGTGGGCGGAACGATACAGCACAGAGGTAAGCAGCAAGTGAGCATTACTGACTGAGCTCCACCTGTCAGATCAATGGTGGCATTAGATTCTTGTAGGAGCACAAACCCTGTTGTGAACTGCAAATGTGAGGGGATCTAGACTGCATGTTCCTTATTAGAATCTAATACCTAGCCAGGCGCAGTGGCTCATGCCTGTAATCCCAGCACTTAGGGAGGCGGAGGAGGGCAGATCACTTGAGGGCAGGAGTTCAAGACCAGCCTGGCCAACATGGTGAAACTCCATCTCAACTTCTATTAAAAATACAAAAAATTAGCCAGCCATGGTGGTGCATGCCTGTAATCCCAGTTACCCGGGAGACTGAGGCAGGAGAAGAGCTTCAACTCAGGAGGTGGAGGTTGAAGTGAGCAGAGAGAGCACCACTGCGTCACAGCCTGGGCAAGAGAGTGAGCCTCTGTCTTTAAAAACAAAACAAAACAAAACAAAAAACTAATGCCTAATGATGCGAGGTGAAAGGTTTCATCCCAAACCACCCCCTATCAATGTCTGTGGAAAACTGTCTTCCACAAAACGAGTACCTGGTGCCAAAAAAGGTTGGGGACCACTGCTTTAGAATGCTTACTTAACATATGTTTGCTTTAATGGGAAAGGTATTTAAATAAACAGAATCCCAATAATTTAATCTGAGCAATATTACCATAACCTGGATGACAAGTTTCTGATAACAATGCAGTTACTATCTTATTATGTCAGCATGCAAAACAGCATAAAAAAATACATAGTATGCAATGTTTTAAAAACAGCTTTAACCATCAGACACATAGATAAATTACCCTAATCACAGGTAGGAATTAGAAAGGTAGAAAACAAGAAGGCAGAAAATGAGGCCAGGCACAGTTGCTCATGCCTATAATCCCAGTGTTTTGGGAGGCTGAGACAGGTGGATTCCTTGAGCCCAGGAAACTGAGACCAGCCTGATAACATGGCAAAACCCCATCTCCACTAAAAATACAAAAGTTAGCTGGTGTGCTGGTGTGTGTCTGTGGTCCCAGTTACCCGGGAAGCTGAGGTGGGAGAATCGCTTGAACCCAGGAGGCAGAGATTGCAGTGAAGTATGATTATGTCACTGTATTCCAGCCTGGGAAACAGAAACCCTAACACTAAAAAAATAAAAAAAGAAGGCAGAAAATGAGAATGAGGGGCTCTATCTAATAACAGCAAACACATGACAAAAGATAACCAAAGATGATACTAAAACTGCATAGCCACATGCAAAACAGTCAAAGTGGACCTCATCCTCCTATCATACACACAAAAAAAGGGAAAGGTTGTGAATAAATATTTCTTCAAAGAATATACGCAAATGGGGCCAGATGCGGTAGCTCACGCCTATAATCCCAGCTCTGTGGGAGGCCAAGGTGGGTGGATCACCTGAGGTCAGGAGTTCGAGACCAGCCTGACCAATATGGTGAAACCCTGTCTCTACTAAAATACAAAATTAGACGGGCATGGTGGTGCATGTCTGTAATCCCAGCTACTTGGGAGGTTGAGGCAGGAGAACCACTTAAACCCGGGAGGTCGGGGTTGCAGTGAGCCAAGATCACGCCACTGCACGGGCAACAAGAGTGAAACTCCATCTCCAAAAAAAAGAATATATGTAAATGGCCAAGAAGCACATAAACAGTTGCTTGATATCACTACCTATGAAGGAAATTCAAATCAAAATCACAATGAGAAACCACTTTATATCTAATAGGCTGTAACTAAAAAAGACAGATAACAAGTATTGATGAGGATATGGACAACTTGAAACTGCTGGTGGGCATGTTAAATTGGCCAGACACAGTGGCTCATGCCTGTAATCCCAGCACTTTGGGAGGCTGAGGCTGGCAGACCACGAGGTCAGGAGTTCCAGACCAGCCTGGCCAACA